TGTCTATATGTACAGACTTAGGTAAATATAATAAAGTAATTATGTTTTAATTTGGGATTTCAAATTAAAGCACAATTAAAATAAGAAATCAAATACATGCTAATTCTTAGAATAACTTCAGGTATACATTTTCTAAACCGAAATATTTATTATTTATAATTTCTTTTATTAGTAAAAATAAAATATCTACTATAAATAATAAGTTTTTTATTTTAATTCTTCTCAATATCTTAAAATCAATTAACTTTTATCTTTTTACCGTAAAATGTGTGAACAAAAATTGAATAAAATATCTAGAAACGTGATATCTATGTAGTAGGAAAAGTAGTATTCCAACCTCGTACGATAAAATTTTGCATCACTTATCCATTTTTTCCAATTTAAAATATATATCAATTTTCATAAATTTGAAAAAACAAAGTCCTTCGTGTCAATTTCCCTAAACAAAGAAGTATAAAAAATCATGGTTTCCTTAGATGCATGGGAAACAGTGTGACATAACAGTGAAGAAGATTTAAGAGCTGAAAGAGTGAACGGTGCAATAAGGTGAAGAGTGAAAGAGAAGAAAAGAATGAGTGAAGAAGGTCCTCCAAAGCTATATGCTAACAAGCCTCGAAAAGGTTAATTTTTTTTTTTCTGAGTTAAGAAAAAAATTGTGGAAAATCAAATTAAATATGTAATTTTGATTCAAGGTTTCTCTGTATACGGTAATAGCGCAACTGAAGCAGTTTCGAGGACAACAGAAATCGAACGAGTTCTCCTCGCCTGCGGCGATGGGGGTTCATGGCCACGATGCTGCTCCACCGCCGCCGCCGCCAAAGGTACCCTTTGTTCGGCGCTATAAGTTCGTTTGGCCTATACTTTTGGCTGTGAATCTCGGTGTCGGAGGTAATTTTTTCTTGAACCCAATGCAAAAAAATCGTTTTTTTCGTTTGAATGTTTTGACCCTTGTTGATCATGTGGGAATTTATGAGATGGGGTTTCTTTCTTTGGATTGGATATGGCTTTTATCGTGAATGAATAATGTAAGTTTTTTTTTTTTTAAGCATTGGTTTTTACTTATTATTGATCATGGGGTGGGAGGAAAACACACTTTTTCTTTGGGGTTTGAAATTTCATGGGTTGGAATATTTGTTTTCAGTCGTGAAAAATGAGGGAGGGTAAATTCAGACCTTGAGTTATGTAATATTGGATTTGGCTTACCAGTGTTTATTTTGCTCCTCTTATATGCTGAAATACTCCCTGAAAATAATTGTTGATTTTGGATGAGGTGGGTAAGATGTTACTACATTAAGCTGTATTTCACTTTGACATGTTTGTTCCTGAGTTTGGCGAGTGAGAAGATCATGACATCATAAGGGTGGTGATTTCTCAGGGAGGATGGGTTTAATGATCTTCGTTTTCTGAGGATGAGTGGGGAGCAAGTGAGATCATAAGTTGAAAAGTATTGGATCTGATCATGACCAACAAAATAAATAGAAATCAAGAAATAACATGATTAGAATGGAAAGCTTTGACTTTATGTCTGAGGATGGTTATTTTATGAAAGGCCGAAAGAGAGGCTAACTTGTGTCTTTATTGCTACGATGCATGCTTGGTTGTTATATTCTTAATATATGATAGTTGAGGTTGTTAGAAGCATTATTTCTAAGATTAGTGTGCTAGTTTTCTATCATTGTAACTTTTATGTTGCATTTGCAACTTATGGTTTTGTGATCTTGACAATTATTATAATTTTCTTTATATCGATTCATTGAACCAAGGTTTGACAAACACAAATAATCAAGGTGATAACTTAATCATTTTTTAGACTGTATATTGGACAACAGCATTCTGTAATCATTTTAATCCTATGTACAGTTTTGCAAAAGATCTATAGCTTTATGTTTTTTAAATTTCACTAAAATATCGTGTTCAAACAAACCTATAGTATTTGCCTCGGATCTTATTGAAGATGATTGATTGGCATATGTTTATAATCTATGCTCTGTGAGAAACAAGATGTGCAATCACTTTATCCTATGCATGATTTAGTTAATAAGATAGAGTATAAAAGGTTTAAAAGTCCAAGGCATACAAAATACGCAGTTCTTCTATTGTTTTATCTATATATGAGCTAGCTACTATTCATTTTCGGACAGCTTACTAGTACAATGCAGATGTTTAAACCATACCTTGCAACATTTCCCTTATCTACGTAAGTAGAAAAAGGTGTCGATGAATCTTGTAACTAGTTTGATGATAACAATTGGGTTCTCAATAAAGGATTCTATACTGAAAATTTATTTACACGCTTATCTAATACATTTAACATGTTTCATTGAATATATCTTGAGAGTAACTACTCTGCTCTTCTACCATGTCATTTTTTCAGTCTATTAATCTTGCTCGTGTTTTTCTTTTGTGATCCTAAATCTAGTATGCATGAATGAATTTCTACTGTTGAAACATGTCTTGTTCTGGTTGCTAGACTGATGATTGTCTAACTCTGTAGCTTACTTGTTTTTGGGGACTAAGAAGAAAGATATTGGTGAAGAGGAGGAACAAGATGTAAGTCCTGTCTCAACTAAAGATACTACTGCTCCTGTTGTTGAGATATCCGTGTCCACACCACCTATTACAAATCCTGTGGTCAAACGAGAACCAATTCCACAAAATCAACAACGTGAACTCTTGAAATGGATATTGGAAGAGAAGAGGAAGATAAAGCCAAAAGATGCTGAAGAGAAACAAAAGATTGATGAAGAGAAAGCTCTGATTAAAAAGCTTATTCGATCAAAATCCATTCCAAGTGTCTAATGATGTTCCTGTTATCTTTATCAGCAGGGAAAAAAAGTTATTGACTTCGAATGTACCCGAATTGATTCATCCAATGCTTTTCTTTGGTTTACTTTGTTGATGGGTTTTAGATTATACATATGTTGAGGCTTGAGAGTTCCGGGTCCTGAAATCCAAAATTGTCATTGTAAATTTTTTTATGTGGTTCATCAGTTCCTTTTGTTCTGACAATAGTACAAGTTGATGGCATTTGATGTACAATGGCCTTGTTCTTTTTACCTATAGATGGCAATTGAGTTTTCAATATTTTTATTGGTTTTGTGTGTGAATAGAGCCAGATTTGAGTTAGAGCCAGCACATGGCTAGTGCAGAGGCCGGTGGGTGGTTTTGCTAAGGTAATTTAAAGCACTAAGATGAGGATACTAATTAAATTTTGCAAAAACAATTATTTTTTCTTACTGAATTTGTCCATGTATTGAATTTGGTTTTATGTATTTAAATCTGGGCATGTAAGACAGTATCGATCAGATTACTACAAATTATTTGTTGGAAGAAACAATTTCTATTTGAATCTCATAAATAGAAAGGGTGGCATGTTTTCCGAGAAATATCTATGGTGTGCTGGTTTATAATTTCACGAGTAAAACTTTGAACTGTTGGATCTTTCTCTATTTCTCTATCATCACATCATCTCCCTTGAATGTATGATTGGTTATTTTCCAATTTCCAAGCCAAGAATGCTTATTCTCCATGTTTGTTTTGGGGTGCTGAATTGCATATTCATCATGTTGAGGTTTGAGAATAGTGAAGAGAGATTCACATGGGCCTAATGTAAACATGCACAATTCCCCAAAAGGATGTGGACACGGATGGCACTGTGCAGACTGGCAGGGTTCCCACAACATGCATGCAAGCAAGCCTCCATCACGAAACCAACCACTAAAATACTATAACTTATTTTCTCAACTACTAGTTTTTCTTTTCTTTTGAGAAAAGAGTTGCTTTTCTTGTAGTTGATGGTCCAAGCTCCTCAAACTCCAAGAGAATATACAATAATATGTATGAATTTCTTTCTGGGATTCTCACTGATTTTGTGTACTAGTTAAATAAAATTCAGAACAGCGCCGAATAATATCTGTTGCCAAAATTAAAGTATGAACGTTGAACTGGTTGCCTAAATCTGATAGGTTGCTTCCCTTTAAACTAAGACAAAAGCTAACTCATGAGTTGAGTTTAAAACCAGGCCATTCTGATAATAATAACAATAATGATAGTATAAAAACAAACACAAAAGGCATGATTGTTGACTGCAGTCAAAGAGAAACTTACAAAAGCTTAATCAAAGTTGGGTACTAGGCATGCATATATGAAATAATCAACTTGGAGAAGAGGTGGTTTGTCTTTTTAATACCGTCTCTTTCATGCAATTTTGTCACTCTCATTCTTGCTTGGTCCATTAAAGGAATGTACCTTCACTAGCCAATACATTTAAAAGTCACAGAAATGTGGGGATAGGACAAGTATTTTTATATGGTAGAGAAAGAAAAGGGTATGTGGCCTCTAGCATATAATAAGAGAAAGGATGGAAATGATGATAACGTGAGAGGTTGGAGAAGAGCATGGATTGAACAAAATGCTGAAGAGAGAGAGAGAGAGTGGTTTTGAGGCAAGGTGATGATGATGGAGGAATGTGGTTGGACTTATTGAGTTTCACATGAAGGCACGAGGTCCTCCAACTGCTACTGCCAAAGGAAAAGGAAGGGGGGGACGCCATAATCCAATGTGCTACACCAACAATCATGCCCTTCTGTGGGGACTTCTTTTATTCTATAATGTGGAACCAAATCATAAACTAAGCAAAAACCAGGCATGCATTATCAGTTAATATTTCACCATCTCAGCATATAGTATAAGTCTTTGTACATTCTCCTACAGTTTACTATATTTGACAATTCTTTGAGAGTAAATTTGATGTATATATATTATCATAGATAGTGTGTATTTCTTGGAATTTGTGATGTAGATAATAAGCCACTGATCTGAGAGACATTCCCAAGTTTATACTAACTTACCAAGTCTCAGCAAAACTGTTGACCATGTTCATTCAGTCCAAAGGACAAAGGTAGCACTAAAATTCTTTGTGCCTTGAGAATATAATAATTCTATGTTATGCCTTTGTTAATGTACACATGAATATTTATATTCCCCTAACGCAAAAAGTTAGCTAAGACTTCACAAAACCTCTCTCCTTCTCCCTCTTCTTGCACGCGTACACACACATGCACACTGAAATCTTTCATAAAGAAAAACGTGGTTATGGCCGTGGCCACCATATGATTACGCATATTTAAGCCAAAGCTAGAAGTATTAGAGTGTGAGAGAAAATAATGGACAATATTTTGATCGTGTCTGTGACAGTGTTTCTCTTATGCACTGTGATCCTCCTCTACAGGAACAGGCTCAGCCTCATGCTCAAATCAAAATATAGAAATAAACTTCCATCAGGCACTCTTGGATGGCCTTTTATCGGTGAAACTCTTGAGTTTGTTTCTTGTGCTTACTCTGATCGCCCTGAGAGCTTCATGGACAAGCGACGCCGCGTGTAAGTTCATTTCTGCAATCATTTTTTATGCACCACTTATTTAAGCATGCACTTTAACATATCAAAGTTGGAGACTTCTAAAGAAAAGCCATCTGGGTTGTAAAAAGTCTCATCATGCCTTAGTTTTGTACACAAAGTTGAATCTAAAAACTCATGTTGTTTTCAATAAGATTTGGCGTGTTGCAACTTGTAGGTATGGAAAGGTGTTTAAGTCACACATATTTGGAAGCCCCACAATTGTTTCCACGGATGCTGATGTGAACAAGTTCATACTGCAAAGTGATGCAAAAGTTTTTGTTCCTTCTTATCCCAAGTCTCTTACTCAGTTGATGGGGGAGTCTTCTATTTTGCTCATCAATGGAAGCCTTCAAAGGAGAATACATGGACTTATTGGAGCTTTTTTCAAGTCTCAACAGCTAAAGGCTCAGATCACCAGAGATATGCAAAAGTATGTCAAAGAATCAATGTCTGGTTGGAAAGAGGACTGCCCCGTATACATACAAGACGAAACAAAAAAGGTTAGCTCTGTAGTTTCCTTCTCTTCTCTCTGACTGAATGGGTGAATGAGTGTTCGTACGTTTGTGTGTATGCCAAACCTTGTCTTCTTTCTCTCCCCCACGTGGTGTAGAGGTCAGAATCTAGCTTCAAAGTTTGCTCACGGTGACTTCTTGAGAACAGTTCCATCAGACACAAGATAAAACAAAAGATGCTGCTTCTCTTAAATCTATACTTGGCATTTTGTTACATGTTAAGTTGTTTATATCAAAGCATCAACCCCTCTAAAGTTGTATGATAAAGTGACCACACTTTGTCCTTGCGTTTATGTATGAGTTACTGAAGTAATAATTGGTGATCGAGCTGCTTATGTTTCAAGATCATAAAGTGAAAAACGTAGTTATCTTTATGGGGTTCATAATCATTTTGTAGTAATCATGCTACATTGAATTGAGATTATTGTAATTTACTCTTTTTAAATATACCAGCAGGTGACAATAACTTCTTTTCTGTCCCCAGATTGCTTTTCATGTACTAGTCAAGGCACTGATTAGTTTGGATCCAGGAGAAGAAATGGAACTTCTGAAGAAACATTTTCAGGAATTTATCTCTGGCCTCATGTCTCTACCAATAAATCTACCAGGAACTAAACTTTATCAATCTTTGCAGGTAAATCCGTTAGTTAGATATTGATTTCTTTTTTACCAAGATCATGGGCCTGGTGACACTCACTTCACTTCTTTGGTTTTAGGCAAAGAAGAAAATGGTGAAATTAGTGCGGAGAATTATCCTAGCTAAAAGAAATAGTGGCCTTTGCAGAGTTCCAAAAGATGTGGTGGATGTGCTTCTCAATGATGCAAGTGAAAAATTGACAGATGATTTAATAGCAGATAATATTATTGATATGATGATTCCTGGGGAAGACTCAGTGCCGGTTCTTATGACTCTAGCTACAAAATATCTATCAGAATGTCCAGCTGCTTTGCAGCAATTGACGGTATGGTAATTGCTAAATCTCCTCTTCACCACAAATCATTAGCACTTCTGAATTCAAAGTTATCTCATGCTGTTTTGGTCAATTAGTATTTCGTAGTTAAGTACAGGACTCCAACTCTTAGTGGCCCAGTCTAAAAGTAGAAAACCATTTAGTTGTTGCTATTATGCTTCTTTCCACCATGCTACCAAAGGTTTTGAATTTTTACTAGGGACAATTGTGGCATATCATATGAGATTGCCACATGTGGCCTTAAGAAAGTCTCTGAACTAATCTTCTGATTAACTTTTAGCAAATTACTTTTATGCTCTCAGGAGGAAAATATGAAGCTTAAGAAAATTCAAGATCAGGTTGGTGAGTCATTGTGTTGGAGTGATTACCTATCATTGCCATTTACTCAAACAGTAAGGCCACTGTGGATCCTCATCAAAGACAAGTAAAAATGTTCCATACTTTTCACTTAACTCACTGTGTTAAAATCTCTACTTGTGCAGGTGATCACTGAAACTCTCAGAATGGGAAATATCATAATAGGAGTAATGAGAAAGGCCTTAAGAGATGTTGAAATAAAAGGGAACTTAATACCAAAAGGATGGTGTGTGTTTGCAAATTTTAGATCAGTTCATCTAGATGACAGAAACTATGACTGTCCATATCAGTTCAATCCATGGAGGTGGCAAGTAAGAGAAATCCCCTTGTTATTAGTTCATTTATGTTTTGTTTGTGTGTTATTTATTTAGTTTGAGTGATGAATTGGTGAACTTCAGGACAAAGATATGAGCAGTTGCAATTTCACTCCTTTTGGAGGGGGACAAAGGCTTTGCCCAGGCCTTGACTTGGCCAGGCTGGAAGCTTCCATCTTCCTACACCACTTTGTCACTCAATTTAGGTAATCATTCTACACTTCACTTCTTTTCTAATGAGTGAACACAGTGAATAATTGTAAAAAGTCATCATGCCCAAATTTTTGACCTCTCCTTATGACATAGGAGCAAAGGCAAAATCATAACACCAGACATGCAAATTTCTGTCACTCAGCGGACCAAATGGCTTTGCATGGACCTTTTTCTTTACTTTACATTTTCACTAATGATTTTCTCTTTTGAAACTAAATTTGATTGCTGAAAATTACATATCCCACATATAAATATCCTGGTGGGTCAATGTCATAAATGTCTCTTTCTTGCATATGGACAAAGGAGGAATCCAAGTTGTAAAGTTTCCGGGGCCAAAAAGCCTTACATGCTACATCAGACTTCAGAAAAGCCACTTGATCCTAATCTTTTGTTGGTAACAATAATAATTAATTTGTTAATCAAACTTCTTATAAACCAATCTTGACTGTGAGGAAAGCCATGATGTTTCTTGAATGTATCTAAACTGTTAGCACAGTGCCAGGCTTGAAGATTTTAAGCATAATCATTCTGCAATTTCACACTTGCTTTAGTGAAATTTAAAATAGATACAATTTGACTGGCAACAGTGATTCACAATCTCACAAGAAGTACAAGATTATACCGACATAGACAGAAATAATGTTATTTCATTAGAGAAATACATTCAACTATTGTCTCTAGGTTCTGTTTGCTTATTTAGCTTGAGGCAAAAATAGCTGTTACTGAGAACCAAATTATGTGGCATGTGTATTTTATATTGTTCCTTAGGACTATAGGTTTTGACTTCTAGTTGCACCATGCTTGTATGAAGATGTATATGGCCTAAAAAATGAAGATGCTAAAATAAGGAGCTAGGCTGGTCAAATCATGTTAGGTTGACAAAAAGCCATTGTTGATATTACTCAGTCAAGCAGCCTAATGATTTAGGCTTTTGCTAGATCTGCATTATGTGCAATCCAACAGTGCATTTTATGCTTTTCTTTTTTAACATCTTCGAACTATTAAATATTCTTTGCTTACTTTTGTTAAGAAGTAGATTTTAAGTCTAATTCAATCTTATAAAACATTACGTCGAATATATACATCTTGAGTGTTGAACTAGACATTTAATGGGTAGTCTGATAACTGTCCGATAGCAGATGGTGTGATAAGTCAAACAAACAACAAATCTCCTGATAGCAGGTGACACAGTATGTTCAAAAAACAACAAATATTGTTAGGATTGACTCTACCACATTATCTAATGCTAGGTTAAGCAGTGAATTTTAAGCTTAACTCAATCTTATAAAAAGATGAGGTTTACACCCACTTATATATTATAAACTCTGCATTATCTTTAATACTTGTGAGATCTCCACCAATGTTGTTTAAAAAAATTTTAACCAAAGAAAATAATATGCCATGCAATGATAATTAGACTTCTAAAATCCAATGTTTTTACATGCAGATGGCATGCTGAAGCAGATGCAATAGTGAACTTTCCCACAGTAAGAATGAAAAGGAGGATGCCTGTGATGGTAAGGAGAGTGGAATCTTAAAGCTTGGTTGGCCAAAATGTGTGGAGCCACTTGTACCAAAGGATAAAGAACAACCATTCTATGAAAAAATACAAAATGTGAAATAAGAGAACAAGGGAGAGGGGGGACCAGAAAGATTGGCTAAGGTGGACACACGTGTGCTGAACTGCATAAGCTTTGTTTTTGTCTCCTTGCATTAGTCTTCAACATGAAGACAATGGAAAGTTTCATATTGAGGGACCCTTAAATTAGGTAGAATTTACTTTTCACCAATTTTTCTTTCCCATTTTACCTAGTGTGGTAGGAAAATAAAGGTTGATTGTAAGGGAGAGCACTTTTATCTTGTTTTTGAATCAGAGTTTCTTTTGTCTGTTTTTTTTTCTTTGTTATGCACTACTTCTTTGTTCTTTTTCCTTTTTCTCCTTTCTTGGGAAGAAGAAGAGGAGGGAATAATGGAGGATAGGATTGAATAAGATGAATAATTGGTCACAAAAGGTAATAGTTTGAGTTTAAGGGTCCCATAAATTAATCTTATTCTTAGAACAACTTGCTCAAGGTCCACTTTAAAATATAGATTTATTCATACTTTAGACAGAGATGATTGAAGAGGGAAGAAAAGTGACTAATGTACACAAGATCCATCACACTTTAGTTTGAATAATGATGTGAAGCATCTAAACAACAACAAAAAAGGCACTACAATCATTTTGGATCTAAGATTCTTGATCCTCCATCAACTCCAATTCGTTTTTGTGCAAACCTTTTTACTATATATAAAAATAAATCATAAAACCAATGTATATTCGTTGAACGTTGTTTTTCCTTGAAGATAGCACTTTTTTGTTGTGGAATCATGTTGTTCATCTTTCTTTATCATAACTCTCACTTAATATTTCATTGGTTAGAATAATTTGATCACAATGCCTCTTAGCTAGTATAATTATGCACGATTGGATGATATTAATACTAAAAAATAAAGTGTTAGTATTACAAGTACTTGTTATTTTATGAAAGAGTATCTAAATATGATTTATTTAAAGGTTGAACATGTTTTGGAATATTTTTTATGTTTTAATCTTTTTTATACATTTTAGTCATAAACTTTAAAATCAAATAATATAATTATAATAATTTAAATACAAACTGAGTTTTAGATTCACATTTGAAATGTTTACTTGACACATTTTAATTTAAATGTTAGCTTAAAACATCCTACAGAAAGTCAATGTCATTAAATTAAAAAACTATATCCCTATATTTAAAATTTAAAATTTAAAAATCAAAATCTATCAAAATTTAATACATTGATAAATTCCAATTTTGTGTATAAATTTAGGAATTAAAAACAAACTTAATCATGATTCCAATTACATTTGGATGCAATGATGTTGATCTTATTTTCCTCTTCAAAAATGAAGGATGAAGTTAACGAAGAGTTAACCATGATTAGTTACTCTTAGTATTTTTATTGTGTATTTTTAGAGGGTGAAAAGCCTAAAACTAGTCCTTGTCTAGTATGCATAATTCAATAAATAATATAATAATAATAACAATTATTAAAAGTAAAAATTCCTTGACCTAATATTGTTTTACCCCCTGAATATGTGGAAACGACAACTCCAAATTTGTGTGAAAAAAACAACTAAATATTTAACCTTATGTATTTGTTTTATCTATGACACACGCATTAAAAGGTAAGAATGTAACTATTCAATCACTTTCTTTTACATTAACATATATTGCACTGCAGCTTTTGAAAAACTCTCACCTATTTACTTTGTGTTATTTTAATTTCGAATTCCAAATAATGAATTTAACAAATACAAGAGATAAAGTTGTGTTCCAATGTGATTTTTGACATAAATTTTATGAAAACTAAAATTTTTTCATAAAGGCACTATATTATAAATAAAATTAACTAGATTTTAGAAAATCATTTTAATTACAATTTAAATTTCTACATATTAAATTTAAAAGACAAATAATTTTTTCAAAATTATTTTTAATACCTAAACAGAAAACCTGAGAGTTCCTTTTTCACATTTAACAATCCAAACTTATGACAAATTTCAAGAAATAAAATCATAATTAAAAGCTTCATGCACTTTACACTTCAAATATTTTCTCGTACAAATAAATGTTGGTACAACGCACAAATACATTTTTTACCCAGCACAAAAATGAGGTGTACAGGAAACTGATCAAAGCAAACCGTAATTTGGTTCCATGTAATCAGTTTACTCAGATTTTTACCACTCTTTTGTGTTCATCCTCTTCCATTACTCTCTCCTTGGAGTGGTGGACTCAACGGAGAGTGGAATCTACACCAACTCCTCAGAACAGCAACAATGCCATAAAACAAGCTTTCACTTCTCAATGTTAACGATTGCCATTAATGTGCCAAGTGAGAATCATCAACTTCGGTGTTGAAAATGAAACTGGTAAACAGTGTGCTGATGTCCCTGGCCAGAGAACAAACAACAATGAAATACATGAAGTCAGTCCCATCTAATGCAATGCAAACTCCTCAATGATTAAAATATCTTTTTCTATTAATTTGAAATACATGTAAGGGTTAAACATTGACATTATAAAGCATAGACTGCATTTGATTTGTTTTTGTTTCCATTTTCAATTTATATGCTCTTATCAATCACAAAAGTCCCAACTTGTTTTCACTTTATTTCCTGTTTTGAAGAACCTACAAAGGGAATGATGAATAGGGAAACAATCATAATGGAGAAAGATACTAGGGAAAGAGATAAAGTAAGGAAATTAATTACGCCAGATGAGGAAGAGTCATGTGCTTCAAGAGTGTTGGGTGTCGAGTGACAAATGCCTTCCATTCTTCTTTGCTTATTTTATCATCTTTATCAGTATCGGCTTCTTCAAATGTCTGACATTTTAAAGAAAAAGTGACATAAGGGATCGAAATTAAAATCAACAGAGGGAAAACACTTTCCTGCAAACAATTACCTTATCAATAATGGAATCAAGGGCTTCGTCTTTCATATCCATGCCACATTCTGACAAAATGGCAACAACCATTTGCCTAACCTGGAAAGAATCGTAGGTTAACAGAACAGTTCCAACTGTAAACTAAGAGCAATAGAGGGAAAATGTTATATGTAGACATCCTGATGGTTATTTTGAGTTTTATATATTAGTTAGTGGACGTTAGATTGCCATAGACTTGACAAACAGAAACCATCACCACCCTTTGCTTTGTCGAACTTGTCAAATAAAATTAATATTGCACCAAGGCAATTCCTGTGCTATGATAAAGACTATATATTTAAGCCAATAACATAATGATAACCTGGACATGCCAAGATACTCACTTCTTCTCGCTCAATATATCCAGTCTGTCTCAAGTCATACATTCTAAAAGAAACTACAAGCAAACGAATAGAAAAAAAGTTATAACTTTTATCAATATTACAGCAATAAAATAGATGATGTAGAAACACAAATGCAAAACTCTTGCTGAAGACTTACAGTCAATTTTCTTTTCCAGAGGAGTACAAGGATGAAAGATATTGAGAGCATGCACAAACTCATCAAATTCTATAACACCATTTCTTTTTTCATCGAAAACATCGAAAACCTAGAGAATTTTGTAATCATTAGAATGAACTCAAATACACAATTCAAAAAAGAGAAACAGCAGAAAACAACCACCTTTCAGCAAGACAAGCACATATGTGTGCAACCATGACATTTTTTTAAGGGAGTGAAATGGGGAGAATGAACATAAAACAACATCTCCTGATACTATAGGGTATATCATAGAAAGTCAGCAATGTAAATTTAGATATTTAAACACCAGAAATATGGTTGTCAATCCGTACGATACACCTTTCAATATCTCTATCATACGCACGCATCTTTGATCTTTCAAAGAGTTTTAACCGAATGACAAGCAAATATAGAAAATAATATCAATTTATCGTAACAATTTCGGACTTTAGTCAGTGTTCACAATCATTTACAAAAGGAGGAAAGGACTGGCCAGTAAGAGACTACAAAAGGAATGATACAAAAACACATTATAGTTTGTTGATCACGCATCACACAACATAATAGACAAGAAAAAATATCTTTAGGTCTACAACCGTATGTAATGTTCCACGGGGGATTATGGAGACTCAGGAAAAATAAAGAGTGGAAAGATCATAGGTGGAGCTGAATATTGTAATTTATTGTCCAGCAGAAATTCGCATTGAGGCAGCAGCATTGTATTCGGCTATATATATATATGTGTGTGTGTGTGTGTATATATAGATATATACACTAAAAAAGCCACATCGAGAATCGATTAACTATGTTAGCGAAACAAATTGGAGTGAAGAAAGGGCATGAACTAGTTTGGTCCCCTGAAAAATGTTTTCTTCTCAAATCGAAGTTGGATTTTGACAAAAATTAGATCAGCCTCCCTTCCATCAAAATCCATTGCTTCCTCACCTCCAAACCAATTAGTCCACACTGGGTCATGAAACAAATCAACAAAGCAGAAAAAAAAAACAGTTGCCAAAATGCTTATACCCTGTCAAGGAAAAGATTCTCCTTAGTTGTGGTCTTCAACAGGGCCAATGTGAGTTCTTCCTTCACACAACGAACAAACAAGAGTTAAAATTCAGATAAACAAAAATGCACAAACTTAGGATCAAAGAGAAATTGATCCCCAAATCCAAATCTAGCTAGTTACCTACCTTGTGGATGAGGCCATCGTCAATGATTGAGCTACTCAACTTCTTGAACAACTCATGCAAAGCCTCAATTTCATTAACAGTAACTGCCACACACAAATCAGAAACTTTAAACGCCATTTCCTCATCAAAATAAACAAAAACAGCTGAAAATGAAATTAAAAAAAAAACGAACACGGAGAGTCCTTGGCGAGGGCTAAAATGTTGTCGAAGGTAGTAGAAAAGGGTTTCTTCTTCTTCGCCGGAGAATGGAAATCGAAGCAACCAGCTAAGCTGAAAACCAAAGCTTCAACAAGTCCTATGAGCGGAATGAACACCGCACACAGCGTCTCTCCAAACGTCAAGCTCGATCTCTGACACAAATCAATCGGAAACTCATAATTTCATAATTCGTTTAGACAATAACCGAACACAAATCGAAATCGCGAGTTCAAGAAAAAGTGCTACCAGCGATACACCGGTCTGGGAAAACTCCATTTCATCTTCAAACTTTTTCCGCAGAGTCAGAAATAGAATTTAAATAACTATGAATTATCACAGTATTTATCCGCTCAAAAATATTTATTTGTCATGAATTTAATTACTATTTTTATATAGATAAACACTTTAAAAAATGTTAATACTAATTAAGCTTAATATCATATTGGTTTTAATTTTGGGTTAAAT